TTCTGACGCTGGTGTGTAGAGTTTTGATCAAGATTCATTTGAGAAGCTCTTACTTAATTCAGAACTGTCCTCCACCAGCTTTCATACTGCAAGTAGTGAATGGGTCATCTAATTGTTATTTGTGGATTCTGTTTCTAAATAAAAGGTGATACAAAGACGAAGAATGCGAAAGAACCAGACTTATCTTAATAGTAATATCTTCAACAATCAGACATGTTAACTTTAAAACCATTACATAATAATAATAACAGCTTTATTCCAAACAGTATTTGTAGTACAGGTATGGAATTTTCAGCGTGCATCACAATATATTGCATCTAATCACATCATAAGTTTTATAAGATTTTAAAATCAAAAAGCAACACCCAAAAAAAGATAAATAAAAAAATAAAAAGAACAGCGTTGCGTTTCCATTTTAAACAACGCACCACAGGATATGAAATACAAAATTAGTGTATAATAGAAGATGAGAACAACAGTGTAATAGTAACGAGGAAAGGAAAACAAAAATTAATGGGACTATTTGTTAGAGTGCCGCAGTAAGTTGATCGTTTCATACCTAACGGATTTCTCATCACATAACAGCTGTGCCAGATATGGTATTGTGGAGTTTTTGTATTTGGTAGTCCTAGCATAAAGCCGCCTATAGCTGCTTCTAGTTCTACCAGATGAAATGCAAGGAGATAGATGCGTATAGAGAGGATGCTCGGGGTCCGACATTATTGTATTCGCTAGTTTCTTACATGACATAATATGTCTATCCACAATAGTGTTAACCAGTTGGTTTAACGCTATCCCACTTGCCCTACTAACGGCTTTTAGTGCCCTTCTCAACAAAGCAAAGTCTTTCTTAAGTAGTCCAGGAAAGATTAATGGGGAGGAGTAAAGGGGGTTAGGTAGAATACAAAAATTGATAAACTGAGAAAGTAAAGACTGCTTTATACCAGACTGCCTAAACTTCCTAACGTATAACGTTAAGCGAAACATCTTTCTAGTAACTAGCAAGATGTGGGAGGACCAGGAAAGATCAGTGGAAAAACTCAGCCCAAGGTACTTGACATTAGATGTATTTTCAACCTCTACGCCGTCAATGATAGTGGGGCCATGTGAGCTAGGTAGTTGTTGTAGGTCACGTTTACGTCTGAAAGTAAAATTGACTACCTGACATTTAGACGAATTCAGCTTAGGACCGTTTGAAGAGGACCACTGACTAATTTCCGACAGAAAGTTATTTAATTTGGAACAATCTGATTGAGAGTTGACAGGCATAGAAACAGAGAGGTCACCAGCATACTTAACAAAAGTGGCTACATCAGAACGGGGCAAGTCATGTAAGAAAAAAGAAAACAGAAACGGAGAAAGAACAGCACCTTGAGGAACACCAGCTAAAGTAAGTGAGGTAGTGGAGGACTTTTCATTATAGACGGTGTACTGCTTCCTATCAGAAAAATAGGAATGAAACCACTTATTTGTCCAGCCCTCAGCCTGTGTTGCAGCAAGCTTGCTTAGCAAGAGGGACCTAGGTACAGTGTCAAATGCAAATGTGTAATCAAGGAAGGCACACCAAAAGTATTTAGCTCCTTTATCTAAACTAGAGACTATACTATGATGTAGGATAACAGCGGCATCTAAGATACACCTACTATTTTTATAAGCAAACTGGTTGGGGTCGTTGAAAGGCTTTAAAGAGGGTTCAAGATTAAGTAAAATAAGTCTTTCCATAACTTTTAAAAGAGGTGAGGTAAGAGCAATGGGTCTAAACTTAACAGTAGGTCCACTTGTTGTTTTAGGCACTGGAACAATCTTGATATTTTTCAATGAGTCAGGTATAATACTTTTGGAAAACGGTTCGTTGAAAATGTCAGTTAGTGGAGAACATAAGATGTCAGCGCACTTCTTAAAGATAACAGCAGGAACACCATCAGGACCAAGGGACTGAGTAGGTTTGAGAGACTGAAGACACTTAGGGACAGTTTCGATTGGATGAATTCAAAGATCATACAACAAGAAGTAGGGAAAATGAAATGCCACAGTGTTATACACTTATTTACCGTGATATAAACCATTCACTGAGCTGTAGCACGATCACCTAGTCACCTGGAGACTTTTGGTTTCACAGTCGGTGAAGTTATGCATGTGAACCGTTTAGAAGTCCTTAACTGATATCAAAAATTTATCTAGTACTCTCTAGTTTTTGGTGGTTTCCTACACTGATATCAATTTGTGAAAAAGCCAAGTTTAAGATTGTGGCCGTAGGTGGTTTACTAAAATTATTAGTCTACAGTTTTCATCATTACTAAGCATTAGCTGCTGGTCTTTACTGTTCAGGTTGACTGGTTAAACTTAAGGTACATTCAAAGTCAAACACCCACACCACTCGACATGCAGTTATCCCTACTCTGCACTTTTGATCTCAAAGTATATTTCATATTTTTAAGGGTCACTCATCTCTTTATGAATATGAATTTGGCCAAAGCCTTAGAAGTACACTAGGGCTTGGAGGATATACGATTGGGTGTGCACACATCGTATTGTGCATACCTGTCGAGGTCCACAAGATCCCAGAAAACCATTAAAGAAAGCATGTACTCCAATGAAAAGCTAGTTTATTTCGTTATATATATATATAAATGTTTTATGCAAGTGAAACTATTACAATCTTACAGGCTCATTCATATTACCAAGGTAACAATCCACCATTTACCTAATGCTGTGTATTCAGGGATGGATTATTGTAAATAATTGACATTTGTACTCAAATAAAACTTTTATTATCTCCGAAAAATAGAATCTTACCATAGTCTTATTACTAAAACCTCAAATTTGAAAATCCCTAAACGCGCTTTCGAATTTTTAAAAATTTCAGTTCCACTTCACTAAAAGCTCTTTATTATACAATTTGCAATGCTAATAAAGCCTCTCATACAAAAAACGAATCTTGATGTTACTGTTCTCCTTACGCACCTACTTATTTAATTCAAGCTCATATCTTTCCAAATGAATATTACACCAAGATTTCCAATGTCAGACTAACCATCTGTGCAGAAGAATACAGGCTTCACTAACCTTAAACGAAAATAAATAAAAGACACACGTGCACTACAAACACATTTCAGAAAAGACAATCATAGATCCATCGTGTAAAACTTAGGCTGAAAATTCATGGGTTCTCTGACGGAGTGAAGATATCTTCTCAGTTGAATGAGATATCCTTTGACACCTCACAAAGATATTGAATATGCACACCACGTAAAGCTACAATAAAAAGGAAGAAATGTTGTATTACAAGTAAGTGAACATTCTAACTGACTGGGTGACTAGGTTTCATCACATAGAAGTGCAGCTGTTCAAGTTGTCATACTTTATACAGCAAGTAGAGGTGCAGAAAAGAGGGAATTCAAAACAACTATAATGAGCGAAAATATACGGGAGAAAGAACAGAGACATGCGAAAGACATGATGATTTATTGAACCTGGGAGGTCACTGATATTTTAGCAGGCATTCTGCTACAGAAGACAAGATAACTGTTTGCTTATGATCAGTAAACATACTTACTAAGATACTTGACAGGGTAATTCGTGATGAAGTTCAAAATACCATCAGATAAAAGAATTACATAAAATTACAATAAAATTAACTTTTTACAGCAATAAGTCAGCAAAATCAACCTCATCATTAATCAGAAAGTATCATTTACAAAAGTTCAGATTTAAATAACGAATTAAACAATCAGATTTAAAGTAGAAATCAACTAAGATGAAGTGTAAACAGTATTATAGCGGTGGGTAATTCCCCAGTATTATTGGCCACAGCATTCATCACTGAACATTGGATGCTGACTCTTAGTCGACTTGTTTGGCTCAAGGTTTCCGGTCAAGCATCTACGCCATTTAGTACGCTGTCGTGTTACGTTCGTTCGTGCACGATCCCTAGCTAGTTGAACAATCATCTCTCACTCTGATTTGGTCCCGATATATAACTCGTAATTTGGACAATCAGTTCTGGTGTTTTGCTTTGCCTTTGGTCTGCGCAGAACGAATACTATAGATGTGGGCATTAGATTTTGTGTTGGTATGCTTCGTACTGTCCGTGAACGTCAATAACTTTAGCCTTTAAATTATCATTTACCACGATATACAATATCACTGCTCAGAATATACCAAAGAATTAATAGACTATAAAAAATCAGCTTCACAAAAATACGATTTTTAGTCACACTCTGTTACTACTGCATATCAAAGAGCCACCAGAATTAGTAACGCTAAGCTACCGATAATCTGAAAACATAGGAGACTAATAGTAAAAGTGCAAATTTGTATGTATCAAAAGCAGACTTAATGGGGTTAGTTAAATGCTTCCAACGCTTATGCCTCATAACAATTCTACGAGACATCTAACTATGCACACTGCTCATACAAACTGTAACCAACTTCCAGTCAATGGTTCGCCAGTACTCCACACCTGAAAATATTCAACCTTCAGGGTGAGTGGATGATATGATTTATGGGCTGCTGAATGCTGCAAAGTATCTGTAGAGAGAAGACTCCAGACATTCTTTCTCCAGATGACGTTTTCAAATTTCTTGATGGATACATTTTGCGATTTTCACATCTCATATCCAAGTCTCTGGCCAAAATGTCATATTTGGTTAACCAGCAATTTATAGCAATACTGCCAGTTTACTAGAAGTTGTTCAAAGAGTCATTACCAAGTCTGGGGCGCAGTCGGCAACACGTAATCCATTCTTATTGTTGAATAGGTAAATAATTCCACAGCAACAACAGCCTGCAGCGAAGTCGGCACACAACACTGACTACTGATTTTCCCTGTTTTACTACAGTTGCTTTCACGTATTATCAGTATTTTTTTATGTTTGCTCCTATCTTGGTTTGGCCCAGTTCCTTTCTTAGAAGATTACCTTCATCACTTTCCACTACTTTTATTTCTTTGACCAAGTAAAATAAAAAGTTTGTTGGAATATTGCTTGCTGGTTCGAAAAATGTTACTATTTACAAGACATTCTCTAAAACTGTATCACCATTTCGTTGTCACAGAAACCAAAAATGCCTCTCAAACAATCAAGCAGTCATACAGCACAAAAAGTCAGGGCTGAAGTAACCCTAACGCATTGTAAGGACTGGAAAGAATCCAGAAAATACGCATTTGCACCCCACAGTATACCAAGCTCTCAAAAATGTTAACAGTTTATGAAAACATTTATTCGAAAAAATTAAGTCGTCATTTAGTTCTGTCAAGGAGTAGTACACCAGAAAAATATCCCATATCTATGCCTCCATCACATGAGAGCTTGAGAGCAGTTCCCTAATGTAGTGATCGTTTTATCTTCATCAGCAAGCCACACTCGACTCCACACTTTCACCAAACAGACTTCTCCCTAAAAAGCTGTTTTACAGGTATAATTTTATTACCTCATCAGGTCTCAACGAGCAATCTGCAAACAAATCAGGCATGTACATCTCAATCTTGCTGCAATTAGTTGGTAGAAAAACAACAGTGAATCGGTACAAAACACCTTGAACAACCTAGAATTGTTAAGTTAAATGTTTCACAGCCCACCTGGGATGTACCATTCACAATTTTGGAAATGACATAGTAGTCTGAATAGTTCGACATTTCATTGAATAATTGTTGAGCCGTTTGTAATGCTGGCTTGAATTTGTCTTCAGTGAGTTGATCGGGAGACATTTTCATTGGAACACCCGTAAGAATCGCATAAGAAAATCCAGCAAACAACACGAAAACAAGTGACCTCATGTTGCTTTAACTTGCTTGAATTGAACTTCCTCTATTTATCTTTATATAAGTTGAGCAGAACTAAACAAAATCCAATATCCAATATCCTGATTACGAGCTAGTATAAACCAGTGATTTCTTTGAGCTCGCTTCTTGATTGTGAGGTAGAGGTTCCAGATCTTCGGTGAGCTTCTGCGTAGTAAGTCCCGACACTCGACTGCTTTAGCTCTGGTAGACTCCAGGAGGAGTGGTGCGGGGATTGGTCGAGATGTGGTTTGTAGTATGCAGTATGTTAGGACTGTATTGCTGCCGTGAATGGAGTTTGACCTAACTCCCCTTGGTCATTCGGTGTAGTCATAAAAGCAGAATAGTAATAATAATAATAGGTTGTAGTGTAGATAATATAGGTTGAGATAAGTGGAATAATAAAGGTGACCTAAGGAAAAGATAGAGTGAGAGAAGGCAGAATAGGTCGTGGGGATTTAGTTTGTACGCTTATTCATTGACAGTTTGGTTTCAAATTTTATGAGGATAAGCCATTGAGACACAAACCTTGCATTTCTGCATGATTGTCTAGCTTCCGCTTAAAAATCTCCAGAGATGGCGCTGTAGTCACGGCCGCCGGTAAAGCGTTCCAGAGACGGCAAACACGAAGCGAAAAGAAATGTGATCGCACTCGAGTCTTTGGTCTCTGGTGTGCTATCCTTAGCGGGTTACCTCGTGGAAGCCTATAATCGCTTAATGGCAGGATGCTTTTATTTGGGTGGGCCTGGTCATTTAGGATCTTGTAGACGGTGATGAGGTCTCCCCTGTGCCTACGGTAACTAAGTGTGAAAAGACCTAATTTCTTTAGTCTTTCCTCATATGATTTGTTGCGGAGGCCGATCACCCATTTTGTCGCTCGTCTCTGGACACTTTCTAGAATGTTAGCATCCCTTTTGAGTAGCGGAGGTGCAATGATATTATGCACCTCAAGGTGTGGCCTCACATATGCCTTGTATAGCCTTAAGAACAGTTCGGGAGTGAGAGCTCCCAGCTGCCTGTGCATAAAGTGTAATGTTGCGTAGGCTTTGGCGACGTCCCTCGAGTAATTTCCACTGGTGTCTAGCTTTTCTGTTAGAATAAGACCTAGATCACGCTCTGATGGAACACAACTCAAGTTCTGGCCACCAAGGGTGTAATTTACACTCTGTGACCTGCCGGAATGAAGCTGCACTACTTTGCACTTCTTTAGATTGAAAGGCATTCCGTTAGCCAAAGCCCAATTTCCCAGAGTTTGCAGGTCAGCCTGCAATCTATCTGAGTCTTCCGATGAGTTTATTGCTCTCCAAATCTTTACGTCGTCAGCGTAAAGAAGCGCAGAGCAGTTTAGTTGGGGGGGCAGGTCATTGATAAAAATCAAAAACATCAACGGCCCTAGGATAGAACCCTGAGGAACCCCTGATGCCGAGGTGTGCCAGGATGATCGGATGCGGTTGACTTTGGTGCAGAATTCTCTCTCGCCTAAGTAATCTTTCAGCCATGCGAGAAGTGCTCCAGAAACTCCCGCCTTGCCTATTTTGTGAAGGAGCAGACCATGGTGAACTGTGTCGAATGCTTTCGCAAAGTCGAGAAAGATCACGTGGGCTGGTACCTTTTTGTCCCAGGATAGTGTCCAATCGTTCCAGGCTAGTAGAAGATTCGTCACGCAGGATCTTCCCCTCCTGAAACCGTGCTGTGCTTCGTGAAGAAGGTTAGTCCCATCGAAGTATTTTCTCATGTGGTCGTCAATGAGACTTTCCAATATCTTCGATACCACTGGAAGTAGAGCAACTGGTCTGTAACTGGTCACATTCTGCCGGTCACCACCCTTGAAGATAGGGGATAGGATTGCACGTTTCCATTCACATGGAAGTTTCCCTACATCAAGGGAGTGTTGGAACAGATCACTTAGGGGTTGACAGAGACTTTCTGAACACTGCTTCAGGACAGATGGTCTGATGCCATCACAACCTGGAGACTTTCCCGAAGCCAACCTTCCCAATTTTGCAAGTACCATAGCCGGGGTAATTTGAAATGTCCCCAGCAGGTTTTCGTGTGTTGGTTTTGCGATGTAATCTGGATGTTCTGTAGGGGTAATATCCTCGTTACTATTTAGTTGCCTGTGAAAGGCTAGGCTGAATGTCTCTGCCATTTCAAGACTAGTAAGAGATTTCCCATCAGAACCCACTAGATTGCATGCTCCCTGGTTGGTCGGTTTTCTTTCGGCCATAAACCTGTATAGGCTTTTGGGGTTCACGAGAAGCTTATTGGCGAGGTCTCCCTGAAATGTCCTTCTATCGCTCCGGACTCGTATGTTACATCGATTCCTGAGTTCAAGGTACACTTCATATTCGGGTTGACTCTTCGATCGTCGCCACGCGAACCAGGCTTTACGCTTTGCCTGCAGAAGGCGTTGTGTCCCCCTTTTCAGCCATGATCGTTGCTTCCTAGCTTTTGGTGAGACTAAAGGAACAGTGTCTGAGACCGCCTGGTGAATGATTTCCTTTACCACTCTCCAGTGTTCTTCTACTGTTAGCTCTGTCCATTTTTTAGGCCAATTTGCTTCAGACAGAAGTCTTCGCATTTTGGTGTAGTTGGCTTTGTTATAACACAGATAGGGCTGTGTATTGTCCCACTGTAAGCGCTCGCGGAGGACTATGTCGAATACTATGACCGCGTGGTCACTACTACCTATGGGAGTCGTGATCTGAACGTTTTCCACTAGTAGCTGGTCACTAGTGAGCACGTAATCCAGTCTAGAAGACTTCCCATCAGGGCCCCATCTAGTATCCATCTTGACATTTTCAGTGAATCCAGCCTTCCTGATGGTATGCAGCAGATTTCGATCAAATCTATCATGGGCTTTTCCCGACACCAAGTTAAGAGATGGGGCATTGAAGTCACCAGCTATGACAATTTGATCATAACCCATGTCTTGAGTTGCTGAGATTGTATTTAGCAGTACCTGGTTGTGGTCTGCTCCACATGAAGGTGATCGATAAATGCTGCCCACTAGATATTTGCAGTACCCAACGGTGAAGTGGCACCATATGGAGTCAGGGAGCTCTGTGAGGGGAGGGTCCATCGCGTGAACACATCTGAGCTGTTTGTCGACGTATATGGCGACTCCACCTCCTTCTTTCAGGTCCCTATCTCGCCTGACTAGGACCATATCATTTATACTGACTTCGCTGTCTGCCACCGTAGGGGTTAGCCAGGTTTCCGTCAGTATTATGATTTTGGAGTTTAGTTGTGATTGTAGGTGTCTAAGTTCAGCTATTTTGCCTCTTAGCCCTCTCACATTACTATACAGGCAACTGGTAGTCAGTCTCACCACTTCCCCGTATTGGGGGGTAGTTGACTTGATATTGGCTATCGGTTGAGGAGTTATCCTACGAACTAGTTGGCCGATTCCCCAGGAACCGGCCTGTTGGCGTTTTTTTCTTCTAGTTCAGTTGGAGCACTCGGATGACACTGGCTATCATCGTCCGTGCTGCACCGCTGTAGTGTGACTAGGGGTTGAGGATTTTCTTTTACTACGCTTTGTTCTCTCCTTTGAGTGCGAGGCCGGCTCTCGCAGCAGCGAATGTGTTTGCTGACCTTGTCCTTGGTCTCGTACCATCTATGGAGAGCGGTATTCAACTGGTCTTGGGAGCTGAACTTGACAGCTAACAGACGTGGCGAGTTAATTGACATAAGATGAGTGGGTCGAGGCAGTCTATAAATAGAGACAGCCCCTGAACTTCCCAGGGCCATCTGGGATGCTAACCATCTCCATTGTTGTACATCATGACAATGCTTTTCGCAGGCGTTCCCAGTTACCAGTTCGGGAATGCCATGCACAACCATGGAGGCAGAAGGAATGAGCTCTGGCGACTCCCTCGCCATTTGTCTTTCCTTCCACGGCCTGTCTGGCTTAACACGTATGTTACAGGCCCTCCCTATAGAAAGGACTTGAGAAGCCAGTAACACTTTTTCAACATCCTCGGTAGAGCCCAATGTTACCCTCAGTGGGGATGGTTTGCCTTCAGGTGCAGCAGTGCCCCTATACAATCTGCATAGATTTACTGGTTGGATGTCCAAACCCAGTGTGCTACTCAAGATGGACCACTGTTCCTGATCAAATAGGGCCCTATCTTTCAGCAGACTACTGCTACAGTCTGGTACATTAAAGAGGATTACACAATTTGATCTGCTAACCGTGGGCTTGGGCTCGGTCCTCGCACGTTTGTGATCACCTTTAAGACCGTTTTGGTTTGACTGGTGCGACTGGGTATTTTTATGTGTCTCAGTGCTATAGCCAGCATTACTGATAGACGGTTGGGGTCTTTTTCCAACGACGGAAACCCGTGGTTCTCCAGCCTCTGTGTCTGGAGCGGTTATGGCAAGAGTTACAAGTTTAACCGGTGAGGATTTTGGTATCCCCGGTTTACGCGCGTTTGTACTAACTTCCGGATTGGTGGGGGTCGAGCTTTTCACCTTTTTCCCCGCTACTTCTGTGCCATCTTTAGTTTTCAAAGGACTACGCGAGGCTACATCAGGACGGCAACTCGGGCATATGTACCAGAACCATTGGCATGGGTTTTTACGCATAAAGTCATAATATGCTTTTGGTACCCCACTGTCGCATCTGCAATGCACCCATCGGTTGCAAAAGTTACATTCGAAAGCAGAGTCTGCTTGTTCGACAACAGAAGCACAGACCTTGCAGTCGTCTGTCTTCTTGGGGAGCGTTCTTGTCGTCTTGCGACGTCGTGAACGTTTCTTTTTGGCCTTCCTATTTGTTTCATGGTCTACCATGGGGATGGGTGTTATGAAGTTCTCACTTAGTGCAATTTTCCCACTCGGATCTGTTAACCTAGTCGTGTTAACAGGGGTGGAGCCACATCCACTTGGCTGACTTTGCACAGCTTCACTGTAGGACTGTGGCGACATGGGTAATCTGTACGAGCTGGGAATATTAGCCCTGGTCTTCAGGACCGGTATGCGTGAGTCCATCACCTTCTCCTGTTTGCCTAGTTTGGCTGAAGCCCTGGTAACTACAGAGTATGATGTCCCATTACTTATTTTAGGTTGAGAATCTATTGTCATTTTACTCCTAAATTAATACTGGTGATTAAATAATAAGAGACTGTTATTTTGTCCAATAGACTTACAGCAAAAGACAATAGAGAGCACAGAAAAGAAGGATAAAGTATTTAAGTAAAAGCTTTAGACTTTACCTGTAACTTTCGGGTTATTCGGTTTCACAGCAATCACGTAACAGACCCACAAGTCCTGTATATTTGAAAGAGTGAGGAGGGTGTTGCTACAGAAGTAGCACCTGAAGCTTTGGCAGTAGTTCGAGACAGCGGGAAGTACCACACACAGGCTCGGTGAGGAAGAAATGGTTGAATAAAAATTCGCCGGATAGGAAGATCAGGTTTCCCAAACGAATAATTCACAAAATTGGATATTTCCGGTTAGGGAGGAAAGGCGGCCTGTCGACGGACGTAATTCTGAGTCAGTGTCCAATGCTTCAGGAGTTTCTAATGTTCTTCTTGGCGAAATTCACGTGAATTTTCGGCTCCGAACACTCATTGAGGTGGCTCTCCTCGTATTTTCGACACATTTCTGAATACCTAATATCCATTTGACCTGCAAGTACGAACAAATTCATTTCTTTGAGCATTCCGCTCTGTGATTAGCGAACGTTTACTTATCTTCGATGCATATCTCACAAAAATGTTTCAGGGGGCCCGAAGCAATAAAAATAATATCATGAACATGGGAAACGATTTTGGCGACCACAGCCAGTAGAAAAACACTTTAGTCAAACGTGAGGTTAAGTAGGATGTAGGAAGTGTTGACCCATCTTTCTGGGTCATGCCTTAGGAGAAATATCGGGATGAAATCGCATTTAAAAGGCTTTCTTCACCTCCTGTCCTTGAGTTTAGCCAGGACAATCAGGGTGTTCGTGTAAATTTGACCTTAAGACGGACAATTTGTGATGTTTCATCTTGGACATTTAAAACTTCTCCATCCCCTTGTTACGCACTCAAATAAAAACTCCTCCATCGCCCAGACAGTCAGCTACTGGTCTTTGCTGTCGCTTACAACGCACAACTCCCCGCCGGTAGTTAATGGTTTCAACTTGATATTTTCTTGGGATGCTCCTGGAGTTCCCAGTAAAGTCTGCGTAGAATGCTCTTCATTCCCTTCAGGTTAGGTTTTGGCACCTACTTATAGTAGCCTTGAACTTTTTCTGGCTGGTTCATTCTTACGACTTCCCCATTTATGCTACGCCTTTAACTCGGCCTATTCTACGCGTTAAGCTCATCACCTACATCAAGAAAACTGCCAGTAACGAATAGTGGTCACTGCAGGGATAGTGTGTGAATGATTCTCTCCACTGTTGCCTAGTGTTTGTCGACTTATGACCCTTGCAAAATGTAGTAATTTATTGTAATCGTAATATTAGTATTTCAAGATGACCTAATTACAAGAATTCAACCAAAACACAGAGAGGTCAGAACTCAGGAATTTGTATTTAGCGGAATTACATTCAATTCATATAAGAAATATTAACAATCAACAGCAAGTATTTAAACAATACAGAGATAGAAACAGTCAATCACCACATCCGCCACACGTTGAATGTCTCTTTGCGTATTTATAATGATATCGCGGTTTGCTTGCCAGTCTCTGCGATCTTCTAACTGATTCTGTGATATCATTTCCATCAGTATCATCTAGACTTATGTCTGAATTATCTAGAAAGTCAGGATTAGTAGCGGAGTCATTATAATCATAATCGGAACGACCTACCTCATTTATTCTCACTTGATCCAAGTGTCTGTTATGAACTGAATGATGTTCGATGTCTAATATCTTCACCATTCGATTTCCCATTCTTTGTAGTATGATACCAATAGAAGGTCTATAGTCATTCCCTCTGTAATAATGTACATTAGAAGTCGTGGACATCAGATGCTTTCTGAGAATTCGAGATTTGAATAGTTTTGCAGGACTTTCATGGGTACTTGTATGCTCCGCATTGCGATATTGAAGTAAGAAGTTGTCCACACATCTCTCTAGCTCATCAAAATTTTGAGAACTCATTGATGCTATAGCACTCTTTAATGTCCGTACAAAATTTTCTGCCAACCCGTTTGACTGAGGATGACGTGGTGCTGTGTACAAATGACGACAACCTATATGTTTGAGCCAATCATTGAAGTTCTTCTCCGTAAAGTGAGTACCATTGTCAGTAACTAAGACATCTGGAATTCCTTCTCGACTAAAAATCTTTCTCAACGCTCTGTGAGTGAATTTGGCAT